TATTGGACGATACCCCCCTCCAAGTAAAAATCAAAAATCTCAATATTTCTCAACGGTATTCGTGTATTTTTGCTCAAGTACTCAAACTTACACCACTTTTGAAGTGGCATAATTATCCGGCACAGTGTTTATAGAACACCTTTTTTGGCATGGCGCTTCTTTACACGATGAATATATCAAAGATTGTTACACATAAGTACATATATACAGTAAGTGAATAAAGATATAAAGATGAGAAAAGCTTAGAATGAATCACAACTATTTTCTTTTCTTTTCTAAGCTTCAAAGCTAGGTGCAAAAATTCTTGAAATTACAAATCTCGGAAAAGTCTTAAAACTTTAATTAATTAAATTAAATTAAAGTAATTAAACTAGTTTACTGGTGTTTTTTTTCTGTAATAAGTTTGATATAATTACTGCTCAATTTTTCGTAATGTGGACAAATCAAACCAAAATAAATGTATTTCCTATTTTGGTTTAACAGAATTCACAAAATCTTCTTCCTTTTCCATATTTCTTCGACATCCAGTTTCTAATTGCAAGGTTATGTAAAGTCATTCTTATTCTACTTAATTGTTTTTATGAAGAGGAGGGACTGAATAAACAGAGCATCTAGTCAAGACCCCCTGCTCATGGGCCTTTTTTTCATTTATTTCTAGCTGCAGATAAAGGACATGGCTCAGAAAAGGCATAGCACAAAAAAAGACATGGCACGCGTGTTGACATTTAAGTTTTTTTAGTGTGTAAATCACTCAGACTTGTCACGAAGACATATTTCATGAAGCACGATATTTAAAAATTTATTTAGCAAATTTTAAAAAGTACACAAAAATAGGGACTTATACTGGCTACAGTTTTTTTTTGTTTTCCTATTATAAGTTTATTATAGTAAAACACATCTTTACATTTTATATACTTACAATTGTACATGAGATATATTTCACACGCTGAATCATCACGAAGACAATAATGTTTCAAATCAAAATTCCACCTTCTACAGAAAACTCACATGTACTGATTCAAATCTTGGTTGTTGTAATTATGGTATAACAAACCCGATCTATGATAATGTAATTTTGTACCCAACATAAATGTAAAGTGGGAGAAATTTTCTAACAAGTCGGAGTGTTCAACTAGTGGTCAACTCTTGTTTTGCATGAAATTTCAAAGTATTAGCATTCAACTAATGGTCAACTGGCCGTTTTATGCAAATCAGTTGATCGCTTTTCAGAAAAGCATTCAACTCCGAGTGGTCAACTGTTTTCGCATTATCAGTTGACGACTAGTTGACGGTCAACTACACATTTTTGTATTGGAATTCACACTACATAACTGGTAGGACTTTTATAAAATCTTAGTTGATAAATTACAATTATTTCCAAATTATTTTTTATGGTTTCTATCCGATTGCAGCAGTCGTATTATCCGTTCTTTTAATTGAAAGCGGAAGCTAATTTTTGCAGAATATTGGGTATAGGCACAATATTTTTCCCATTAATTGTATTTTTTCTGTACATTCTGATTCTATATATAGCGCATAATGATAACAGTAATTCTCATCTGTTCAACTGCTTTCTATGTTTAATAGCTGACATTTTTCAGAGTTACATGTACTTTTGAAAATCTAGAATCATGAAAGATCCATCCCACTGTAAAATTTCAAAGTTTCAAACCGTAAATGTAAAAGAATTTTCCTTTCAAAAAAGAATTCCTTATTTAAAAAGATAAACAATACTTCATTATCCTACTTATTCGCATGGTTTCTTTAGGCAGTTTGTCCATTTTTGCCGGTACATTTCTACAAAACCAAGACGATTATGGTAAATGTGAAAGTATTCAAAAAATTACTCACCTTCAAGAAGCTAATCTAAAAATTCAAATTAAAAGTGGTTTCAAAGAAAGCTCGTTTTATTCAACTTGTATATACCTATGGTAGATTCATAGTTGTTACATCGTATCATTTACTGACAGACTACCCTTTAAAACAGGCACTTCTGAAACTGAAGATAATAATGTTTAAGTACATATGTCCTTGACATTATATATAATACAATTCAGAGTTATGTCGCCATACTGAAGTGCTATAATGTTGATATATTTTCTATATGTAAACAAAAACAAGGCACTAGCAGTGTTTACATATGAAGAAGTTGAAGTTCTGTTTCTCCCTTGTAAATCTACAAATGATGTTTAAACATTTGTTGATTCCTAGAATTGATTTAGTTAGGATTTGTAAAAATTTAATTGGTTTAAAATATACTCAGTTGAATCTGTGTCCATTTCCCTTTAACCGTAGCTTGCTTTTCTAAATATAGAATTCATAATCTTTTAAAGTATCATTGAACACGGAAGGAAAATAATATGGGATTTGGTTGGGAGTTCATTTTCAAATTTTATTTTTGTTTTGTCGTTTCATTTGGATACGGTATGTAATTTTAAAATTCAAATTCATTTAATTTTTTATCACACACATTTTCCATCATTACCTTTTTATAACCCGCCTTTTGACCTCAGAAAAAAATCCATATATGCATGAATATTTTAAATTTGTATGGAAACAAATTTCTGCCTCAACAAGAAAAAAGATGTAAACATGCGAGAAAAGTAGGTCAACATGCAACATAACAATGCATGTCAACATGCAGAAAATTATGCTGACACGCAACAAATACCATTATTTTTTAGAAAAAAAAACTATAAAACACATTTTAATGTTGGATAATTTATTTACAAACTTCAGTGTATGAATTCATACAACCACGATGCAACATAATAATGTTGAAATGCGACTTATGTATGTTAACATGCAAGATACCAGTAATTAAGTTCATTCAATATACTAAAATCATCATGAACGATATTATTGTCAGCATACACAAACTACTTATGTCTATACATCTATACTTATGTTAACAGGTAAAATATTTATATGGACATGCGACTTATCAATACAAACTTGCAAGATATATTTGAACATACAAGGTACATGTACTTATACCAGCTCGCAAGATAATAAGTTGAATGTCAACATGCCTTCATGTGCCTGGTTTCTGATGAGTATTTCAGGTTACATTTCACTTAAACAATTGATAAAACTAGCTTTCCCTTGAACGTAGTGATTTAAGAATCAATTAGGTACAAGTAAGTAAACACAAATATGGCAAATATGGAATTCCTTTTTTCTCTTATTGGGCATCCAGGTTGATTGTACACCATTACATGTAAGTAGTTCTGGGTCCACCTGGCATGACATCTGGCCTTTCTAGATTTACTCTGACATACCCTCTCTAGACAAACTGCTCCTCTTGATGTTACATAGCTATATTTATTGCTTTTCCCCCAGCCGACCATAACTAAAACTTATAAAAGTCACATTAGAGAAAAAATGATAAAAAGAATATGTATGGTACGCCAAATTCACAAAAATGAGATAATCATAGTTTCACAATCGATAAACTAGGTTTATCGGTTGTAAACTATAGTTTACGAACTGTAAACTATAGTTAACAACGTTAATCTATATTTTTCATCTGTAAACCATAGTTAACGCGATAATCTATGTTTCACAACCGTAAACTATACTTAACACCGAAAACAATCATTTGCGATTGCAAAACAGATTTTCTGATTCACGATTTGTAAACTATAGTTTACAAACCGTTAACTATTATTAACAATTTTTCACATATATACCTACTGTACAATTCTTCAACTACGAAATCAAATCCCCATGAACCAATATATTTTTCCTCAAACCACGAAAATTTGACCCCTCGGAAGAAAGTGATTTTACAGTAAACGCAATGACAACCCCCTTTTCACAAACTTTGAAATAAATCTTGGAAGGCCTAATTTTTGTGGAGTATGAAGTTTAACTTTATTGAATGTAATGATATTACCTAAAATATACAAGAGAAGGTATTTTTAATCCCTTCAATCCTATATTCAAATAAACAGAAAATGTCTAAATCTTACATCCGGTGATGTTAATACATTCGAGGTTGTTTTTCTGACCTCTTAGGGAAAGAGCCGAGATGATGCGATTGGGTAGTGGTGTGTGTAGAAAGGGGGGGGGTCATATAGGTTCCAAGTTCTTTCAATACCAAGTTTTTCTTTACTCAAATTAATAGTCTGTTTAAAACCAGCCCCTTCAGGGATGGGGGCTGGTTAAGGAAGCTGGTTTTAATCAGACTGCTCAAAATTACTACATTACCATTAGTTGACTTGAACATTTTTGTTTATTGCAATAAGTGAGGGACCATCGAGACATTAAATGAACATTTTAAATCTATATTAAATGATAATGTCTAGAAAACAGGCGGGCAGCCCCCTCCCCCTGATGCTAAGAACCTGAGAAAATATCAGAAATACATGCAATTATCTACAAACCATGATTTCTCAGAATATAAAAACATATTATTGTAAACAAACATGATTTCACAGAACACATCGAATATCCATATGGAATTTATATTTATTATTGTCAAAAAATTTTGATATCGTAGACAGCTTCTTAAGCTATAAGAAAGCAACACAAAGCAGCAGAAATAATGACACAAACGTTTCTCCTGCCAGAGCTGTTGACAGAGACATCACGACATGTTCCTCTACAGGGGCAGATAATCCTGCTTGGTTGTATGTGGATTTACAAGAAATAAAAAGCATACATGATATAAAGATTTACTTTTATGGAACAGACACAGCAGATGGTAAGTATTTGGAAGAGAAAACAAAATTGCAAGTGCATCTTATTATATCCGTGCATTTCATTAAATTTAATTTGGTTTTTAATATATGTGATAGGTTTATCTTTATTTTTCCACACAATTCTATCATAGTAATGAAAAAAAGTAATCTTGAATTTAATCACTAAGATTTTCTAAATAATATCTTTCTTTTAACTTATTTGAGTTATTTCTATTTAATAAAAAAAAACTACTTAATTAAATAGGAAAGTTCAAATTTAGCAACACACAATTTGTTTTACAAGTAATCGTGATTATATAATACAATTTCAATCATTCAAAGTTAACATTGTAGATATACCTCAACACCCTTGGAAAAACAATACTATAATGTAAGAATCCTTTTGATCGTTAAGCAGTACTAGGTTTAATACTGAGATGTCAACCAAATTCAACAAACTCAAATACTGTTTTAAAGCTTGCATATCTCGGTATTACTTTATGGAGCATATTTATCGTATTTTTCTCTCCATTGAGGCAATAAAGTCCTGAATGATTTAACGTATTTTTATGTTTTTTCATAGATTGTGTTAAAAAAATTAAAATGTTTGTATTATTGGCGACATCAGTAGCTTTAGTGGTTCATCAATTATCCTAGTTTTTAAATTGAAAAAAAAAATAGAAAAAATCTAGATTTCTAAATTTTTAAAATTTCTAAATAGATTTTTTTAATTATGCTCCCTTTATTTTGTAGAGCAACGACAGAGAGAGTTGATGTATGGATATCAACTTTATGTTTCAAACATAACTGATTTACGAGCCTTGGACTTGATACATCATTGTTACAATCACAGTGGGCCTGCCTTGCCTGACTTAATCTCCAATCACGTTTGCACAGCATTTGGACGATACGTTATCTTCTACAATGAGAGAATTCCTGGAGTGACGTATCCTAATTCTAATGGAGGGATTCAAAATTTTACATACGTTCAGTTATGTGAAATCATTGTAAATGGTACGTCATTAAAATACCGTACATTCATTATTTTACATCCACATATATTTATATTCATTTCCATTTTTTTTTATTCATACAATTTTCATTTTCTAATACGCATTTATTGCTAAATATGAAAGCCTATTTTAAAAATTGAAAAGAAGATTTTTTCGAAACTTAAAATTTATTGAACATGCAAATAAAATCATATATATGCATTGTGGCAACGCACTTTGAAAAAAATACGCACTTTGAAAAAAAATTTTCAAAGTGCGTTAAAATTGGGACAAAATCAACGCACTTTGAAAATTTTCTTCAAAGTACGTTAAATTTGGGACCACCTCAACGCACTTTTTTCAAAGTGCGTTAAGAGTTTACATTAATATATTTTACCATGGACACACTTAACGCACTTTGAAAAAAAATCATATTTTAGTAATGGAAAGATTTTATATTTTATTTATCTTTCAATAAACTAACTCTAACCCTAACCTAAAAAACAGAATTGATTTACTCCCGTCGAAAAGAGGAGAAGACGGGTATAAGATCCCTCAATCCAAATCTTTATCTTCCAATACATAGGTGACGGTAACAAACGGGGGAGGGGAGCAATAAAACCCAAAAGGATAAGCTGCATTTTCAATGCTTATACGATGTATATATCTTTCCAAAATAAGTGGGGGGCTTAGCCCCCCCCCCCCCCCCCTTTTCCCTGGCCCTTAGCCCGGTCTCGATTTCTATGCTACATGTATACTCAAAACATTCATATAAATATGTATTTACCTAACTGGCATGACGTTGAAAACTTTCAATATTAAATGAGTTAATTAAAACAGATGAAAACTAGAAATTTTTAAGTACAGTAAAACGTATGAGAGAGAAAGAATTTTCATAGTTTTGAACAATCAAATTGCCCCCTTTTTATTATGATAAATGCTAAGTTGCTTAAGGCTGTCCACTGTTAGTGCCCCCTTTACACCTTTACAATAAAAAAAAGAAATGAAATAATGATCTTAAAAAATCGTCACAATTTTTTTTCAAGACCCCTTTCCCTTTTATTTTATCAAAACCTCAAATATTTGAAACGTCAATATCTCAGGTCCTTAAGTGACTTTATCATAAAAAAGGTATCCAACCAGGATCTGTTATTTATCAGACCGATTATTTGTAGGAATATTGATCAATCTTTACATTTTTTTTTCAAAGTGTGTTAATATGGTCGATATTAACGCACTTTGAAAAAAAAATTAATTTTTTCAAAGTGCGTTAGCTTGGTCCCAAATTTAACGCACTTTGATTGATTGATTGTATACTGTTTAACGTCCCTCTGCAGAATATTTCACTGATATGGAGACGTCACCATTGCCGGTGAAGGGCTGCAAATTTAGGCCTATGCTCGGCATTTAAGGCCTTTGAGCATGGAGGGATCTTTATCGTGCCACACCTGCTGTGACACGGGGCCTCTGTTTATACGGTCTCATCCGAAGGACCGCCCCATTTAGTCGCCTTTTACGACAAGCAAAGGGGTACTGAGGGCCTATTCTAACCCGGATCTCCATGGGGCTAAAGCACTTTGAAATTATTTTTCAAAGTGCGTAATTTTTCAAAGTGCGTTGTAACAATGCATGTATGTATTTGCTTTTATATATTTTAAAATATATAACTAAAATATCACATTTTTTTAAAATCTGAAGTCTGTTCAAGCTTATTTTTTTTATGAATATATATGTAAATGCATAATCCCTGACTTATTTTGAATAATTAAAGATGTTTGTAAATTACTGATAATTTATTTTTTTCCATTTTCGAAACATAATTTCTAGCAATTAATGTTTATTCCATAATTCATACACCGAATCTTGAGGGCTTTTCTCCAAATACTGTTTGAAAACTTACAAATGGTAGAGAAATATCTGGATTCTTTGCTGTTTCGTATAACATGTATCCAAAATTTATCTTTTGAAATATTTACCTTTAAATAGAGAGGAAAAAAATCATACTTGAATGCCAAATACCGGCACCTTACTCTCCATTATACGTAGTAACATACTTAAATATGTCTTCCTGTCATACTAGATTTCATCTTGCATGTGCACGTGGGACAAAAGAGACAGTGTAAGCGGGGCTTGCAGCACGTGTATTTGCGGAATAGAAGGATGTAAATATCATAATTATTCCTAAATTGGTTATTTTAGGTTGTGAAACTCCTGGAACGTATGGAGATAATTGTTTCAAGAGATGTCCATCAAAATGTCAGGAACAGCGCTGTCACATTATCAACGGAAACTGTTTGGGGTGTATGGAAGGATGGAAAGGAGATACTGTAAACCAACTTTTATTCGCGTGCGAGAAATTTTCGCGAAGTTCGCGAGAGCCTCGTCATCGCGAATATTTCTCGCCGCGAACTGGCCCTTAGAGTATTATGTGTCTATAAATAACATATCCAAAAAGGCTTGGTCGCGAAAATTAATCGTCGCGAACTAGTTTACCCCTGCTGAATCGCGAAATAAAGTCGTCGCGAATAAAAGTTGGTTTACAGTAAGTGCGAAAACTGTAAGAAGTTTCAAATTACAAAACGTATTTTCATAACAAATTTTAATTGTTTTATCAAAAGATATAATATATGAGAAATTGTTTTTTAAAGATATACGAGAAATTGTTTTATCAAAAGATAAACGAGGGTTGAAACATTGAATACAACTGATCTCAAAATTGTTAAGCAATTCTTTTCAAAGGATAAATGGGTTGTACTGAAGCCATCCTTTTCATTTTTCAATCAATTAATTTTTTGAATACTTTTTCACTTTGCATTCCTAAAATAAACTGAAACAATTATTTTCAATAACTCTCATTTATTGTGGCATTTTTTTTTACTCTGGCACCTGATCCTGCCTCTGATGTTTTAGAGGTCCGTGTTTGCTCTGCTCCTATTTTGTATTGTAAATTGTTTTGTGGATATTTGACCTTGATTTTATTATCATAGTTATAAAATGAACAAAGCGCTGAATAGTAAAATCAAACTTTAATTTGTTTACTATGGAGAAACCCCCGTTAATGCAATAAGAAAATAAAATATGGAATTTTGCTTTTTTTTTTTAAATTTACATATTTTCATGCAATAATTTGATAAATTTCTAATTACTTGCTAAATTTAAACACTTGAACAATCTACAAGAGTTCTTTTTACGTATACCGGATTAATTTTAGGTTTATTCTCATCTTAATTAATATACATTTATCATTATATTTTCAGTAAATATTTTCGGAGAATTTTTTTAAAATTAAAATTTCAATAATTTCAACTAATATTTGTCAATCTTATTTCGATAACAGTCTGTCCAGAAGGATATTATGGACTGGAATGTAGAGATATTTGTTCAAACAACTGCTTAGACAACGGAACCTGTAATCATGTGACTGGGGATTGTGACAACGGCTGTTCTGATGGGTGGACTGGTGAACGGTGTAACATAAGTATCAATTCTAACTTATTTTCAGTGAGATTAAGTTGGACCGTTTATATTAGAGACAAGGTCAGGTCAAAGTCATTATCTTTTTCCTTGACATAAAGAATAAAAAAATACTGTTTCCAACCTTGTGATGCCTACTTCTATTTCAAAAGAATAAAGACTGTTTTTTTTACCTAAAAAGATACTTCTATATAGGGTCTATAGCATGATATTACCAAATTTACATAAATAATTTAACTAAACTGGGTATTGGCTAATCCGAATTTTCTCTGTTTTTCTTGATTTTTTAAGGATATATTAGATATCTTCATATCCTTCCTGTATTTACCTATTTATTATTTTCACATATAATAAAGTAGTCTTATAAATGTACAAAATGATACAAAAAGCAAAAGGTTTTGATCGTTTAATTAGAGAGAAAAAAATACTTTTTATGGATTTTTGTCTCAAATCTGCACTTTGATGGGAAGCATTTAAAAGCTAATATTGTTCTGGTTTGTTTGAAAAATCATATTTATTTGATATATTTTTAAAGTTTAGTCCCTTATTATTAATTTAACTTACATTTGAAAATTTCTCAAAGTCTTCGATTATGTAAAAATTATAACTAAACTCATTGTTCTATTATAATTTTGAGAGGCAGAAAAGAAGATATTTTCATACGCTACCATTCCGCCAAAAATATAGTCCCTGTTAGTTTTCAAAGGTAGTTTACCATTTCTATTTAAAGTTCCCTAATGTAGATTTTCCAAAGGGTTTGGAAAAGTTTTGGAATTCCATGGAATTCCAATCATTTCTATACCAAACTTGAAAAGTGTGTCTGGAAGTTTTTGGAATATTTTGGAATTTGAAAAAAAAATTGGACTTAGACATTTTTTGGTTTGGAAAGTAGTGGAATTCTTTGGAAAAAATGATAAAATGAGAAACTTAGCCATTTTCTGCGCTGGAAAACTGTGGAAACTTTTTTAACTGTCGAATAATAGTACAATAACATCGGGCTCGAAGTCGGGCTCGATGAACAATTAATTTAAACCACACGCCGAAATTCAAAAATATCGAATGCCATGTTGATGTTGCACAGAAGGAAAGTTGGAAAGAGGGTGTCTAGAACAGGGGAATCATGTTTAGCTTTGGATGGAAGAAGATGAAGACACTTTAAGACCTGGTAGGTACAATATTGTACAGTATTTTATGTGTCCTTGAATGAAGAACGCTTCTGCTACTGTTCATTAGTCTGGACACCACACATAAACTGCCCGACGGTGAAATCGTTAGTTCACTATTTCAATTTTGTAATAATTTAAGATCATGGATTTAAACTCGAATTTCCTCGTTTGGGATCGAACTGATGTAAAGCATGAAGATAACATTTACAGAGTATGATGTACAATGTAATTAATTATATATTTTTTATGCATGTTCATGATCATTTTCAGCTCTCAATTTAGTTATTTTATAGTTGCTGCATAGTGCCTGAGATGATCACCACAGCGATGGCGTTTTATAACTTGGTGGATGTAGATGCTTAGCCAATCAGTCACTAGGCTTGTGAATATGGTGAGAACTAGCTCAAATTATCATTCAAACCAAGTAAACTAACTTTGATTTTATTAATCCATGTCTATTAGCATAAGATTAAAAAAAATTATTGCAAGTTTGCCATGTAAACAAAATTTAAAGGTTTATATTCTTAACACGCTTAAATTCCTTATTCTAATAATTTAAAACAGTGAATTCTGACAGGTAATCTAAACGTGCTAACTGCACAGGCATGCATAATTATTTTAGATCAAACATGCTGCAATCATCTACTATGAAGTAACTATCCATTCTACAGGAATCCCTATGCTCACAAGGACAAGAGCTGTATGAAAAAAAACCCCAAAAGGTCAGATTTCTTAATTATTTTCAAATCAATAAAATCACGTCTTTTTCAGTATCAGTCAGGCATTGAGCTTGAGCTCTAACCTTTTCTTTTTAGCTCACCTGAGCCATTTTAAGGCCTAAGTGAGTTTTTTGATCAGTGTCTGATGTTGTCTGTCATCTATAAACTTTTCACATTTTTATATTTATCAGAATTAATCCTAATTTGAACAAAAAATTGCAAGATAGTGAATTCATATTCTACGGTAAACTGATTTGCCAGGTCGAAAAAACCAATTGTTTTGTATAGTTTTAGTTTATTATTTGTCATATATTTATATGAATATCAATAATGATGCATCTTAATGGTTATCTTTTCTTTCAGAAATTGTGCAAGGAAAGTTTGAAGTGTCTGTGGGAATGATCATCATCCAACTTTCTGAGCCTTCGTACTGAAAGTGAATGTGTTTGTGACACCAATTATCTGTCAACCCTATAACATAACCATTTACTAATTTCATGGGATATCAGTGAGGAAGTGATTCTCTAGCAAACACGTTGGAAGTTTTGGATCTTCATTAATTGGGATCTTTGGCACGTACGTTGGGGGAAAATACTTTAGCATCTGTTGATTTTATGGGATCTTTGTATCAATATAGTTGTGTAGTACATATATTTTGCATTTAATACATGTGTTTGTCACTCTAGTCATTAACTCTGTACCAGTACATAAGCCACTGGCAGTTCATTGTAAATGTATACTCTGTTGAGGTTTCGATGACCTCTCCAATTCCATGTCCAATGTCATTTAATAAAACTAACTTCTTATTTTAGAAAATGCAGACTGGAGTATACTAAATACATGTATATCTTAACATGATTATCATTAATTTAATCAAGGTGATTCTCCAGTAATCATATTCTTCTCTGGATATTTTTGTAAATAACCTTTGTTGTAAAATACTTCCAGTGAGAATACATTTAAAAAGTGTGCTTATATTGTACATCTGAGATTATATGCAATATTTGTCTAAAAAAACATTGTAAAACATACAATGAATTTTTTATTTTGAAAATATAGATTTGATCTATGAAAAATTGTGATGTTATAAATTTTTTTTTGTAATTATTTGGCACTTATTATTTCAGTTTTCATAGTACACGTATTTGGAATTTGGAACCCTGGAATTCCATGGATTTCCATGGAATTCCTTAGATTTACAAACATCCTGGAATTCCATGGATTTCCTCCGCAAATTTCCATTCTGGCATTGTTCCGCTCTTTTCCAGGCTAGATTAAAAATTCCAAATCATTCCGAAAAAAGTTCCGTCCCAATTCTCCGAAGAATTCTTAAGAATTCCGCGGAACAAAAATTCCATGGAATTCCATGGAATATGCTTTGGAATTCCATGGAAGTTGCGGAAAATCTACATTAGGGTTGTACAATTGTGATGAGGAAAGAAAAATATGATCTTTTAAAATCCCTTACACCTAAATATATGAGACATGTAAGCAAATATACTTCGAATGTTTCATCTAGTCAGAAACCATGGAAGAATCCTACCTTAAAGTTTTAAGTTTATTTTTATACTGTTTTTCAGGACATATGATTTATATATTTATATAACATTTTTGTGTCCACTTTTTAATTCTTTAGTTATAATGGACATACTTGCCAAAATATAATAATCGTATAATAGTCCGCATGTTAAAATTCTTATTTGTAAAATTTCAAATCACAGTGACTGCTCTTTATATCAATTTTCTCTGAATATTGGAAAATAAATTACAATTTAAATTAAATTTAGCATATTTTTAACTGTAAACAGTTAATCTGAATGTTATTCTATTAACAATTTAACGATTTTGATTTAAATAGAGACTGCTAATTCATATATCCTTGTTATAAAATGTTTTTTTTTTGTTTGTTTTTTTTTGTTTTGTTTTGTTTTTGTTTTGTTTTTTGTTTTGTTATTATAGTTTTTCATAGTTTGCACTTTTAATTTTGATTTTAAAGTTTGAAAAGGGATTTCAATAAAATATCAATTTCAATAAAAGTTTTTCTTGAATATAATATCAAATTGATATGAAATTATTAATAACACATACGTAAAA